ATAAACCCTTCCTGCTATAAGTTGCCTTGGTCATGGGATTTTACAACAGCAACAGAAACTAATATGATTTCATAAGTAACCTGTGTCTGGTGTTTTATGATTATGGGTAGCTGATGAATACAGAAACCCTAACTCTAACCATCTTCCTGAGCTCAGGTCTGGAAAGCACTTCATTGGCTACCATATCCAACATCACTCACATCTTTTTCTCAGGATAATGTGCAGAGTGCAGTGATCCTACTTTGGGCTAATGAGTAACAAGAAATTTATCCAGCAAGTGATGGCCTTGAGTAAAAGCTGGTTCTGACAACGGGGTCAAGCCACAGCTTGGGCTTCTGGGAAAATGAGGACTAAGGAAATGAGAAATTTGCCAACACATTGTCTCAGTTGCATCAACAAGGGTCTCCTCACTACCTCCCTCCCACCTCCTCCTCTTCACTTTCAAACAGCTGTTCCTCCTAAGGTAGTCCCATCATGGAACTGCCACTTCTCTAGTGGTGAAAATACTTATACAAGGACTGGAGATGCACATAAGACAATGGAGAGGATGGGTAGCCTCCCAGGACCTGTCTTCTTGTTTGCTAAATGAGTTAGCAACCTCACAGAATTGCTGAGACACTTGAGATCTCATGTAGTCTAGGCTGGCCTCATACTAACTATGTAGTTGAAACTAGCCTTGAACTCCTGCTCTACTGCCTCCATTTCCCAAGTGCTGGCTTTACAAGCATGTGTCACACCAAGCTTCATTGTTATTTCTTTGTAACAGAAAGTCTTGTCATTGTTACCTAGGCTGATCTTTAAACCAAGATTTCCTTGCTTTCAGTTCCCAGGTACTGAGATTAGACAAGTAATAATGCCTCATTGGCTCCTTTCATTTAACACTAACCCACATACCCATTAAGAACACAGGTCATCCACAGCCAAACACTAGGCAATACTCAGGAATCCTGCAGAAGATGGACAGGAAGGATTGTAGGAACCAAAGGGGTCAAGAACACCACAAGAAAACCCACAGAGTCAACTAGCCTGGACTCATAGAGGCCCGCAGACATGGGACTGATCTAGACACTCTGCATATGTGTTACAGTGTATAGCTTAGTCTTCTTGTAGAACTGACTCCTAACAGTGGGAGCAGAAGCTGCCTCTGACTCTTTTGCCGGCTTTTAGAACCCTTTTCCTCATACTGGATTGCCTTGATCAGCCTTAATACGAGGGGAGATGCCTAGACTTACTGCACTTTGATATGCCATGTTTTGTTGATTTCCATGAGAGGCCTGCCATTTTCTGAAGAGAAAAGGAGTGGATTGGGGGTGGGGGCAGAGAAAAGGGGGGGTGGGCACTGGGAGGAGAGAAGGGAGGGAAAACAGCAATGGAGATGTAAAAAATAATCTTTAAAAAAGAAAAGAACACAGTTCATGAATGCAGCACACAGAATTTATACTTAATGTGAAGAACAATGGATGGTAGAAGTAGGGTGTGGAGACAATGTGAAAAGTCACAGTCCAACAAGATGAGTGCTAGAATTTTATGGTTCCTGGCACAGTGTCTGTAGGTTAGTCTGTCTTGGGCATGTGACTTGGTAGATTGTCAGGCTCAAACATTCCTCAAGGATCCAGGAAATTGTCAGACCTTAACTTAGGCAGCATTTGAGTTTGCATCTGTTGCACATTCCATGGGGGGTGGTGTTAGGATAGGAGAGTGAGACAGGGTCTCAAGTATCCAGGCTAGTCTCAAACTATATTGTTATGTGTAACCTTTAACTCCTGGTCCTCCTGTCTCCAACAGCCAAATCCTGAGATTATAAGCGTGAGCTACCATGCCCAGCTTTGGCATAGTTTAGTAGTTTATTGTTTTGTTATGTATATGTATGAGATGCGGAGGTCAGTAAACAACTTTGGTGAGTCAGTTCTCTCCTTTCCCTATGAGTCCTAAGGACTCAACTTAGGTCATCAGGCTTGATGTAACACTTTTACCCAATAGCTATCTTATCCAAACTGGATTTTGTTTTTTGGTTGTTTTTTGTTGTTGTTGTTATTTTAATAAGTCTCTCATTGACTGGGTGTGGTGGTGCACACCTATAATCTTGGCACTCATGAGGCAGAGGCAGGTGGATCTCTGTGAGTTCAAGACCAGCCTGGTGTACATAGTGAGCTCCAGAATAGCCAGGAAGACATAGAGACCCTGTCAAAAAAGAGGGGTGGGATTATTTCATACTGTATCTTAGACGGGCCTAAAACTTACTATGTAGTCCAAGTTGCCTCAAACTTCTAGCGATACTCCTGCCTGGGTCTCCTGAGTTCTGAGTTACAAATGTGAGCCGCAACTTCTGGCTAATAGCACCTACTTAAAAGGACTACCCTGGTTTTGTTGTTGTTGTTGTTTGTTTTGTTTTGTTTTTGGTAATTGTAGGTTATCAGTCTTAGAAGAATTCAAATTCCCACCCAATATGGGAACTACGTCCACAAAAATCTGACATATTCATCCAGCCTATTTGAATACCCACTGTGATGAGATGCTTAATGTTACAGAAAAATGGCTCCACTGTTGAATACAGTGAGGACTTAGAACCAACCAGTGCTATAACTCTCCTTCCCACCTGTCATCTCAATAGCTTACAGAAAAAGCATAGGGCCATGCCCTGTGTTATTTACTTTTCTTACAACAGTACATTTTTCTCAATTCTCTATGCAGCCATAGTTTTCAGAGCATTATCTTCAGCACTGCAGGGCAGATGTTACCAGGAGATACTTGTTGAGGACAACCTCTGTTCTTCGAAGAGCACACAATCTCCAACCACTTTGATGTTGCCTGCTTAATCTTGAGATAGACTGCACCCTGGAGTCATCCCTGATTTGGGGCACCTAATTCAGGAAATGTTGCAGCTGTCAGTCCTGGCTCCTTTTTCAATACCAGGGGTGTGATGGAAGGAGAGCCAATTTGAGGAGTTCATTCCTTTGCACAGTTGCCAGATTTAGTGCCCGTTTTGCCTGCAGCCCCCAGTCCTACCCTCTTCTCTCAGTCAGCACATGTTCTTGTCAATCAACAGAAGAAACCTGCAATTCAGCAGGGCAACAAAAGAGAAGGGACAAGGCAGAATGGGGTCTGATCCCACCTCTACCTAGGATTAAAGGACAAGACAGATAAACAGAACTCCATATGAAAAAGACAAATGGTACACATTCAACAGTACTGATGAAAGCAAAGAGACATGGGTTCAAGGGGGACAGTAGGATGAGCTTGGGTGGGGACAGGGTGGAGCCAGGACCAACTTCTGAGGCTAAGAAAGCATGGCCAGATGACTGGTTCCAAGAGGCTGCTTGAAGATTTCCATGTGCTCTACATACTGGTCTGGGGCCAGTCAGTCACTGCTAAAGAAACTAAGGTCATGGAAAGGACCCCTCCTCTACCACTAGAAGATTCTTCAAACACCTTCTGGAGCAGCCCAAACCATGGCACAAGGGGCGCATATTTATCATGTGTCATACTATACCAGAAAAGCATTAAAGTAGTTGCCAACAGGCAGTGGTGACACACCCCTTTTATCCCAGCACTCAGGAGGCAGAGGCAGGAGGACCTCTGTGAGTTCGAGGCTAGCCTGGTCTCCAGAGCGAGTTCTAGGACAGCCAGGGTCACTCATAGAAAACCCTGTCTTGAAAAACAAGAAAACAAAAAAATCGACAATAACTCATAAAATATAGCAAGAGTGCACCAAGCAGAGGAGAAACAGGAGGAAACACAAAATGGAAGGCTAGGAGGGGAGAAAAAGACTATAAATTTAAGTCCTAACGTGTATAACTTAACCCCATGCCCAATTCAATGTCCTTAAAATAAGAATAAACTGCATGCTAAGAAGAAATAAAATTATTCCTGCCACTGAGTCAACAAGTATTTTCTTGCGAATCATCATAAAGGCAGTAAGATGTAATGTAACGGTTCTTAACTACATTCTTAGAGTGGAAAGAACACATCTCTCAAAAAGCTTATTCCTAGTAGAATCTCAAAATAGAGCCAACGAGGGAACTAGGGACCAAGAATAACCAGCCCTGATCTCAAACAGCCACCAAAGAGGTCATCAACTACACACAGTTAGGACAAATCTGAACTATCACTTACTTGTGGATATTTAAAGGACAGTATCTATAAAAATGAAGTTATGGAGAGACCACTCAACAGTTAAGAGCACTGGCTGGTCTTCCAGAAGTCCTGAGTTCAATTCCCAGCAACCACATGGTGGCTCACAACCATCT